AGGACTTCAAACCTGCTCATTTGCATTGCCAAAAACTTGGTCGATGCTTTCTGACTGATTGTAGTGCCGGAGGCTTTGATAGCATCTGTGCTGTGGGCTGCAGCTACAAAGTTCGGAGCTGGCAAAGCGTATTTTCCTCTGGTACTGGTAATGTTAGAGCAGTCATAAAATATAAATAGCAAAAAAGTTTACTATGCATGTTAACAATGGGTGTCACCATTCTCCATTTTATTTTCTGACATTTTGTAGAGAAATGAGAAGCTTTGAAAGCTAATAAGCAAGTCTTAGTCAAATATTCCTCTTTTTTTCTGAGAGTTTTAGTGCCCCAGTTCTTTGTCTCAGAGGACTTCACAACTGTACAAGATTAGAAATCTGGGAGAAATTAATTTTTCACTTTTAATAAAAAATTACCACACTATAATAAAAACCCTTTATAAAGGTTTTACAAGTTGTAACTAATGACTTTATAAATAGTAATAGTAATAAGTAGTCCACCGATTTAACATTGCACTTCTATAAGATTGTCAGACTTACAACGGACATTTGTTTTAAAAAATCAAAACCAATGCAGCAGAGCCAGAGATGCTGTCTTTTTTATTCCATGCACTAATCATAAAACTTTACCAGTTTGTTCATTCTCGTAGCAACTTACGCAAGCCTCAAGCAGAGATGAGGAGCGGGCTACCGAGGTCTGGAAGGCTCACTTCTTTCTAACTCCACAGCCTCAAAATCTTTTTCATTTTCAATCTGGTTCGGTCTTCAGTCCAAATCGACTTTACATTTCTTTACTTTTAAGTTACGTCACCTGAGCCAGACTTTCGAGCACCTCCCTGGAGCCATAAAAGGCTACATACAACTTTTTTCACATGCAGTAGTAATCCCCAAAGCGTGTACCACGACTTTGATGATTAAAATCAGCACTCTTCCACTTTAAGAGCTAATTTTGGGAGATACTTTTACAAAAAATCCCTTTATTTCCTTTATTTTCTTTAACTTGTATTTAAAATAAGTTGTTATATTGTTAATTTTATCCCCTGTACTTGCAGAACACAAGTCACAATCAAAAGGATTCACAATCTGGCAACCCAAAAGTCGCTTGCATTTATGGCTTATAATTAATCCATAAAGCCTTAGTTAATGTTTTATTAACATAAATAAAGCTATATAATGACGTGATTGGCCATCTCTGTTAAAATGTCAAAACTGACCTTGCCACATCTCTCAAATCCTATACCAGGAGTAGTAACACAGAGGAGACGTAATATTTTACACACAGGGCAAAGCACGAAGAAGACACGTCATCAGCTGTACATCAAACATTTCTACGGTACACTGAATAATCGATCCTTCAGTTGAATATGGATTGACGACTCTCATGAGGGATCTCAGTGGGAATTGAGTCTGTCGTGCCTCGGCGCTGATAATGGCCCCAGCAAATGCCGGCCACCTCTAACTTTAGCTTGTAAATCATGGCCCGCGACTAATGGGCTGCACTTAGAGGGGTCAGAGTTAACGACTAAATCACTCTGGACGACAAAGACTGTAAAGTCAAGCTCTGCAGCTCCAACTTTTTTTGTTTTTGAAGTAGTGGTAGTGGTGTTGGAGGTGTAGGTGGGGTGATAAAGGGAGTTGGCAGTTGGCGTTTATTGTTCAGATCTAATTCTGACCTTGGCCAGATGTCCAGCAAGATGGAGTGTATGTATGTGTGTGTGTCATCAGCAAGGTTTTCGGAGAGTGCTCGAGTCTAATAGGGACTGGCAGGCATTTTGTTGGGTTTTACTGCCACATGCCTCTTCCAATCCTGCCACTGATTAGAGCTGCCATTACTGGCACACACGCGTGCACTCGTACAAGGCAGACACACACACTTTGGCACACGCTCAAAGCCCGGGCCTTTGCATGTGATTAGCATCCCATTGCGTTGTCTTCTGCAGCGATCAAACGGAGCGCAGAGTTGTGTTCTTGTCGAGGCAGATTGGGGGAAGTGACGGGTACATCGTCACTCCACTTTTATTCTGCTCATCAGGGTGCCGTCAGCTTAGACAATGTCAAATTTGGTGCAAAGCAATTAAAGGCCTGGGTTGTCACAATTGGGCCTGATAGGGAAGGCTCACAATGTCGCAACACGCAGGCAAACACATCAACACACATTCAGGCACGGATACAAATACTCTGCTATGCTCACACACACGTGGGTTTACAACACATCCACCCACACGAACACACACGTACATACATTTACAATAAGAATGCAGGCGATTAGCTCAGAAAGTGCAGGTTTAAACTGTTAGTCATTGCTGATTCACAAGCGGCTGGCTGGCTTCCACACAGCCACTCACTGTGCTGCCTGTCAAACACACAGGCAGCCAGCTGCTGGAGGTGTGTTTATGTGTGTGCATGTGTGTGTTTATGTGCGTGCGTGCAGGTGTTCACGAAATCCTGCTTTTTAACCAGAACCCTCTCCCCCTCCAGTCCGCCCCCTTCATCCTTTTTAGCCTTGTGTGTGTGTGTGTGTGTGTGTGTTTTGGAAGCACACATGTTCATTGGTTTGTGTGTAGACGTGCATGCATAGTTGTGCGCGTGTGTGTGTTTGTGTGGAGCTTTTGGCTGCTGTGCTCTCCTGGATGAAACCAATGGAAAGCTGAGGTCTGGATGACTTACTTATTTAGGAAAAATCCACCAGAGATGGCCAGTGTGCCGCTGTGCTGTCACATAATCGTGTGTGTGTGTCTGTGTGTGTCTGAGTTCATCCAGCTCTATAGTTAACCCAGCCAGTGGCCTCAGTAGCAGTAGTATATTTCATTTTTCTCTTCCTAACAGTCTTTAAAGTTATCCTGCTGCTGTTAAAGCTTCAGCAGGCACGCAGCCGGTTCATTCCCAGGTGGAGACACTCACCGAAGGGTTAAACGCTCTACCAGAAGCAGTCTACACACACACATACACACATTCATGCTCATATGGGGAGTTACTTATAGCCGTGAGGTTCCTCATCAAGTCTAAATTCACTTTCCAGCACATTTAATTAAACTAACTCGATTTTGGTGTTTCGGATTTTTACGTAACCTGCTTTTTATTTGCTTGCAACCATCAGAGGATTTATCCCATCTTTTCTTTTAGAAAAGCAAGTCAGTAGCAGGTTTCATATCGTCAGTGCCCACTGAAAACCATGAAGGATTAAATCGTATTTTGTGGGTTGAGAAAATGTTTGTACTTCTTTGGATAAATAATCCATTTACCATGTGTTGCACAAAGATTAAACCAGGGCTGCTTTTCTTAGCTCGTGAAAAGTTGACTTTTTGAAGAGACTTGGTTTTCACAGGACACTGATTTGTTTTTTTCATTTAAGAATTTACATTAAATGGCATCATGCAAGTCACAAAGATTTCCTTTTCTGTGAGAGTTATGTCAAGGTTCTGCGCACAATTTGTGGGACTTTTCAGTCAATAAGCTGTTCCAGTCGATGCAGCGCAGCGAGCACAGAGTGCAGCTGAGTTTCCAGTGTCTAGATTATTGATAGCAGTGAATGAACTGTGATGGTGTCAGAGGCTTTGGTGTTGCCTTTGTAAGATCCCTCTGTGTAACGCTAGCCGGCCCTTACGTTTACTGAGAGTATCTGCGTGGCCCTCGGCGCTCTCATTGTGATTAGTGAGCCATTGATGTTGACATGAATCTTAGCTTCTACACACACTCACATGAAGCACACACACACACACACACACACACACACACACACAATAGCTGAGACCTGGTTGTTAGTTATATGATCTGCAGTGTGAACCATGGGATCCAATGAATCTGATCCTGAACCCTTCAGGTGTGTGTGGCTGTAGAGTGAGCGTTTAGTGAACTTTGGCGCCGTAGCTTGTTAGCTGTGTTGCATCATCCACTTTTCTGTAATCCTCTGCTCCACAAATGAGGAATGATTTTATGAAGCAGAAGTTTATGGGACAAATATTATTTTGTATTTAAAATGCCGGATGGAGTAAGTACACAGAAAAAAGCTCAAGGAGCTATAGAGAATCAAAGTCATGGAGTCACGTCTTGGCCAGAGCCCGTGGAACAAAGCCACTGGCTTCTGACCCCCAATGCAATCTCTCACTCACTATATAGTTAGTCTGTCTGACAAAAATACACCGAGTTGCCTCAGACTGTCTAAAACAAATTGGCATCTACTTCAGCATTTGCCCTTAAAACCTTCATGCTTTAATAAAGTTAAGAAATAGTTCATTTGTTGGCATTAAAAAGACTCCCATAGAAATTTACGCCGGCGTGAGCGTTTACACTTGCGTTGCTCTGCAATTACACCACCAAAACGCTAGTTGCCGGTGGGGTTTCTATGTTCCACTGTGTTGAGTTTCTTCTTCTTTGTTGGTGTGGGCTACTACAAACAAAAGGTGCGTTGGACTTTATGTGGCGTGCGCAGCGCTGACTTAACGTGAAGCTTGCTGGATTTAAAACAAGGCATGCTGGTTAGTAATTGTGTCCGGCTTTCGCTGGCGCTGCAAAACGTCACCATGTCATATGACATTCAAACCCTGGCGGGATCAAGGCAGCCGCAGACCAGTCATTGATCTCAGCTCACAGTAAGCTCATGCAGGTAGAATGTGTCCAACTTGAGGGCGCCGTTTTTATACCCCACCCCTGCAGGCACCTTTAGCTCATGTTAGACTATCAAGTCAGCCGCAGTCATCTCGAACGCATCTATTGGCTAATGAAACTGAGCAGATCGTGTTAGAGCTGACTTCGCTGTAGATTCGACGCAGAAGTATAAATTGGCCTTGAGAAGGCCCTCAGTTTCTAGAACCACATATTTCACATAGACTGCAGATGAATTTGAACTTTAATGTGTTTGTGTATGTGTGCAAATTAGCAGTTTTATGTAGTTATAACTGAATTAGATAGATGGATGGATGATAAAGCTGCCTTCCCAGTCTCACAATACACAAACTTCCACCCCTGTCACTCATTACCTTTCTCTTCTTCTTCTTTTTCTCTTGTAGCCCAATGTGACCTTCATCTGAGTCGAGTGTCTCTACTCAACATTCGGCAAGAAGACAGAGGCAAAGAACCCTGAAAGGGAGATTAAGAAGAAAGCACACAGACGTGCGAGGGAGGAGAAGAAAAACAAGTAAGAAAGTAAAAACATAACAAAGGGGGGAGACGAAAAACACAGCAGCATCTTCTCTGCCTCCTCTGAAACCTGCCACAGTAAACAGCACAACTGGCAGAGTGAATGAGAGAGGAGAACAAAGGGAAGAAAAGGAAGAGGAATGGGGGGGGGCATGTAAAATGAGTGAAGAATCAAAAGAAATAAGAAAGTGAATATGAGGAGGAAAAGGAGAATCATGCATGAGGGGGGAGGGTGGGAAGTGTCAAAACAGGATGAGGAAATTACAGGCATTTTCAGGTATCCTCCCAGAAAGAAATAATTCTGAAGCGAGACAAAGAAACAGAAGAAAGATGCAAGAGCCGTGAGATAAGAAAAAAGCAAACAAAAAGAAAAAGATTGAAAAAAGTTTTAAATTTGGGAAGCATAGCATCCCTATGGGTGTGAGCGCGTGTGTGGGGCGCTCACACCGTATTGTGATTCTGTTTCTGTGTGTGATGAGTGAAAGTGAGGCGGCCGTTTTTCGCCTGAAGCAAAAAGTGGAAAACGAGGAAGAAAGAGAGTGAGACAAGAGAAATGAATGGACTTCTACTAATAAAGTGTATCTGACTGACCATGCCCAGAATATAAAGATCTAACTCTTGGCAAAGTGTGCGTTGTGTGTTTCAAAATCAGCTATTCCTGTAAGACCCCCTATTGATATGGTTTTATGTTGTGCTTTAGTGACGCATATTCCCAAAACACATTTGTAATTAGTGAAAGTACCAACTGACATAAACGATAGAGTTAACCTTGTTTGTGTTGCTTTGGATCTATAAGGACCGAACAGCGTAATAACAGCATGAAAATGACACGTGAAAAGCTTAAAATGCGTTGACATGGCACGCCGAAATGTCCTTAAAAGTGGGGTGCTATTTATACGCCATTCCATGATATCATGTTGAAAAGACGCCATAGCTGTACATCAATTAAAAAGTTTTGGCTGTGAAGGACAGTGTGTTATGTGCCACGCTAAGTGTAGATTTTTAGAAGTATCAGGAACCGCTGTCACAGTAGGATACTGGATACCAGAGTGACATGTATATGTGAGAGCCTGTGTGTAAGTTACCAGGTGGTCATCTCTTTTTCTCTCAAGTGTGCTCTCGCATTTACAGTCTGTTTGATCGAGTGACCCAGAGCTCCAGCGGACTTCAGCCTTCAATAAAAAAAGTAATTTGTATCTCGACTTCAAACCTACAGAAAACAGAGATACACAGGCAGAAGAGGGACGCACTTAAACGGAGACACGCACACATATACCGTGACATAACGACCAAGCTGCGCACACATAAACACAGAGGCGTGAAAAACAGCTTCAGGCAACATTGCTCTACTCCTCTATTCATATTTTTTTCTGCCTCTCTCTCCCACTGTCTCATTTATCCCCCATTCCTCTAATAATAATGGATGTCTCTCTCCCAGTGTGTGTCTATCTCTGTGAGGATATTGGTTGCTGATCATAAATAGCTTTTCTCTGACAGGGTGCCATCACAGACACCGGGAGCTTGTGGAGAAGGGGGGAGAAAAGGGAAGAAAGGGGGGCATGAAAGTGAGGGAGGAAGAGGAAGGGGGGGAAGGGAGGAAAATGCAAGAAAGATGGAGGTGGGGTTATGTACACATAAAGCGGCGTGACAGGTGACAGGTACGCACAGATAAATGTGCTGCACGTATCCATGCACACCCAATCACCCTGCTCACTGATACAACCCTGTGCATTAAGGTAGATGTAATACAACACTAGCTACTGTGGTGAATTCCCAAACAGCAGCCAAACCTTTACCAACACACTCTGGGTAACCCTTTAGGGCTTACCAGCGCTTTACAAACTGATGCCAAAGGGGTCTTGACCATCCGTCCTTAGGTGACGAATTTAAAGTGAGTTGCCTTTTTAGGCATTTATATAAAACAAAGTAATATATTTAAACTTAAATATTATATCTCAGAGATTGGGGAAAGAGATTTAAAGTAATAGTAATGGTGGTGGCAATAAAATTCCTTCAGAATAATGTTCCACCACAACACTAACTCCACAAGGACAACACAGTCATGTCACCTCTCTGTTGAGTTTTTCTTTCTTTCTTTCTTTCTAAAGTACTGATTTCCTTCACATTTTTTTCCTGTCGATTCCACTATGCCGTTTTTTGGATTGCTGTTAAACTACTGTCAATGAAACACTTACCGCAATAATGTCTCAAGCCTAGTTCACACTACAGGATTTTAAGATTTGCCATTCGGTGAGCTCGGCGACCATTGGGGTGTGCATCAAAACGGCTCCCTGAGACATCACAGACGCCAGCCAGATGTCTGGCGTGCCAAATATCTTGAGCAGGCAGCTACTTTTTCACCGCAAAACGTTTTTTACTGACCTCCAGCTCTCTCTGTAGCTCAGATGATCCCTGCTACCTGCATGTGCTAATCCGTCCTTTCATCCGTATTCTTTGTCTCTATAATTGCCATCTTTATAATAACAAACAACAGCTGTTTCGTGTGTAGGTTTGCGTCTTTTCCAGTTTCACATTTCACGTGTGTTTTCTTGCCACAACATGCTTTGGAGACCAGCGCCAGGTGACACAGCCGCTGTCAGCTCGTGTAGTGTGTGACCCCCTGTCACCGATCAGTCACGTAGTGTGAACGCCACGGCTCTACTAGACTCCCGTCACAAGACGCCAAGTTATGTAGTGTGAACAGCAGGGCGATCGGCTGACGCTGAAAGTTGTGTAGTCTGCACGAGCCTTTAGTCTTTCCTGGCAGGCTGTTAATGCTCTGCATGAAGTCACTGCACCCAACCAAAACATTGTTTCAGCACGTAAAGCTTGATGAAACAACCACCGATTTCTTTTTACATTTCTGTTTGTGGACAGCTTAAAAATAATGAAATACAACTGTTAATCAACATCAAAGTTTAATACTTACAAATTTATTCCAATTTTTGTTCATTGTAACGTCAATGATACTCATCACTTCCTGCAACAGGGTTTCACAATAAAAGCCTTCCACCAGCCCAAAGAGCGTAATCCTGCTGTTTCATGACTTTTAATGTGAAGCATCCACAAGAAATAAGTTTCATAATAGCAGCTTAACAAAAAAGAAATTGGAATTAAAAAACTTGTTATTATTTGTAAGAGCAATGTTCCTGTTAAAATAAAAGGGAAACCAAGAGCAGCAGACTGATGAGCGTGACATGCTGTTGTACTGATGAAAGTAGCGCTGCGGTAATGTGCATTACACTGAAATGCTTTAGGGTTGTTATTCAAATCAGCCATTTTTTAAATTACAGTATATCACATTTGATGTGGTAAACATGCACAAGGGCTGCCAATTGTGAGAATGTGAGACACACACATACACACAAGCAAGAAATGATGCCTGTCACACACACACAGGTTCCCCTCCGTCGGGTTTGATGAGGTGAACGAGTGTGAACCTGCCGCATCTCGCATTCCTCCGTCCTCTCTCTCCACGCAGCAGCAGTCCTTGTCTCTCTATCGATCCCAGCTTATCTTCCCGTAAACCTGGACCTCTTTTCTCTCCGGCTCACCTCGCCACCTCCTACCCTCCTCTGCTTCTCCCTCACTGCTATCGATCAGCCCAAGTGTTCAACAAAGTAGAGAGCAGGCAGTGGTTAATGCAGAGCCGGGTCTGAGGAGCACTGCTCGCGGGTTCGCGTATCGCCTTTCCCTCCTAATGGGTCCAATCAGGCTCTAATAGACCCCGGGTTAGAGCACTGAGGCCCGCCACTCTCGTCTCACTCCTCTCACCTTTCACTTCTCCTGTCTTCACTTAACAAATATCTGTCTGCACTGTATGTCTGCCAGGTGCATTTTTAGCTGATGACCGTTGATTTCGCTAACTGATCCTATAGCTGTCGTTGGCAGATTTTTTTAATACATTTATTCATCCAGGGAAGGATTTGCTTCTGCTGAGTATGCACATACTTCTTCAGACTTGTCCTGCTTTGCCTTTTTTTTTAACAGTAATGCACATACATTCCTGGGAGCTGCCCAGTACAACCACAGCCAGCTAATTTTGGCCATTGGGAACTGCCCAGTACCAGAAGCTCAACTCTTTCATTGTCTCCAGGCTTCTCTCAGTCACTGAGCACATTGAATCCAGCTGGGTTAAGTGCCTTGCTCAAAGGCACATTTATTGTTAGCAGTTGTTGAGTCAGGGGAAAGTGTCTCTCACTTTTTCGTTTACAGCCTTTGCTTGCCTTCCAGGTATGTGAATTGCTTATAAATGAAAAGTAAAACAGCAAAGAAGAATAAAAGTGCAAGTCAGTAATCACCCTGGGGGGGGGGGTCACATCCAAATACATGAAACATGGAAATTTGGCCCCTCCAATATTTGTATTTGCTAAAAGAAAGCTAATGTCCTTCCCTCGATAGCCGCTGGATGCTCACTGAACTTCGTGCTTCATGTTCATGTTGATATATGAGCATGTTTAACAAAACAGACTGTGTGTCAGGTGTGTGCGCATTTGGATACAAATAGGAGCAGATACACAATACAGACACAACCTCATTGACCATTAGTGCTTTATTTTAATGTGCTGTTGGCTGTTCATTACCTAAAGCTTAAAGGATTGTAAATATATATTCGTATGTGGTTAAACTTTGTTTGGTTTTTCTTCCAAATAAGTTTGGCTAACCTAAAGTTTGTTTATAACCTGCCTGATTGTGTTTCTTGCCTCGTCACACTTCTTTTTAGTGATGAGTTCCCAGATTTTAGCATCTAACTTGAGTCCACTGTCACTATTAGCAGTAGGATTAATGGCCAAATCTAGAAAAATAAAAAATGAGTCACAATGATGATGATGATGATCCGAAAGCAGTTTTAGGTCAAGTTTTGACCATTTACTTAAATAAAAAATGCACATTTTAGTTTGTGTCTCTGCTCATGCGATGCTCCGGAAAACTTAGAACAAGCTCGACACAGAGTCTCACTGAGTTCACAAATCCCACAGCAGATCCACAACACCTGAT